CTAGGGGAGACGAGTGACAAGGTTCAGTCGTGTTGGATTGTGCTTCTGCAGATTTCCATTACTTCCTCGTTTTTCTAGCGCTCTCTTAAAACCACCGCTTCGTAAAGGTCCGCTCATATTTGCTGTCATTTCCTGCGGATCAGAGAAACTGTAATCTGTCATTCCTACGTGCGGTTGTTGTGGTTTTTTTTGTCATTCCGTTTCCACTTTGGTGGTCCCCATAGCAATGAGTTCCTCCCCCTTGTTTGGTTGGTCGGGCGAGACGGAGGCCTCTGCATGCGTCACGCACGCCTTAATAGACGCTCGCTAATAATACTCGCCTCAACACTCAAAGGGAGCTTGTGTGGATGATGTCAGAAGGAAAAGAAGTGAGTAGTGCATGCGTAGCGTTGTCTATTTTAAGTCGACTTATTATTAATGTGGTGCCGTGGCCTGGCTGGTATCTACAGCGCGGCGGGGCGGGGGCACTTGTGCGGTGTGTTGTGATGCAGAGAGAATCGGAATCATATTTATTCACACTGGAGGAATTCGATGAAGCGACGAAGCTCTTCTTCACAAATGATCGTCAGCGGTGGCTGTAGGCTGCGTGAAGCGTCCACCAGCACAGGAGAAGCAGAGCAACTTTGCTGGTGGCGCAGGGGGTGGGTAATGGAGTTGTTCATCGGTGAGTCAGAACTACTGAGACCTAGGGCTTAAATCTGGGTTCAAAGCCACCGTTTATCAAACGTGGGTGCTCCAGTAAACAGAATTGTATAATGTGGCCACCAATGACTGCGTAATGTGTGTATTGTGTATAATTTAAAAAAATTACTTCGAAAGCCTCGCTGTATGCATTAAAAATGTAATTAGGTATTTTTTTTATTTGCTCTTTAAGAATTTTAGCTGGTTGTTTTTACTTCGTACAATATCTCTCTAAGGTTCGTGAACGTATTGAATGATGGGCAGCTTTGTTCAGAGTGTGAAAAAACGCCGTCTTGTCTTGGAAACGCGGAGCGAGAACCGATTCACTTGACTTCACCGAAAAGCAGTCCTGGAACGTGTTATGCCGACACACAAATAATTCCCTTGACTATTGCATATTCAGAAGCACGTTTCATCTCATAACTTCCACTCCCATAATGGCGCAATTGGGAAATAATTCGCAGTCGTGAAATACAAAGCTCGACGCAAAAAAGGGAATGCGCAGAAAGGGGGAACGCGTGGGAAGTGAGTTGACATTGAATACGGAGCCAGAAATGTATTTGAATCATCCCAGCGGCAGATTGAGAATGACCGACGTTGCCATCCGGCAGGATGACGTTGAAAGTGTGAGCTGTTGGGGCGAGCGTTGCCATCGCCCCGGGGAGCGGCGCGCGGCGCCGCTACCGTAATGGCTCCAGCTCTGCGGAGCTCTGCATCAACGATGACCTGTCCACAAGCTGCCGGCGGTGACCTGGTCACGGTGACCCGTGCAAACGAGCCAGCCCCCTTGCGCGCGGCGCTCGGCGATAGTTCCGCACGCGACGAACCGCAAGGGAACGGGCTGCTGCTCAATTTAGCCTCGGCGTTGTCAGCCTTGCCCCGCTCCTTCTGTTTTCAATAATATTGGTCCAATTTGCATGACCATTTAGGATGGGCGGAAAAACATTGTTTCAGAATGAGACGACAGAACATATTGCATTTCGAAGCTCAACTTCAATTTATTTTGTTATATTTTTTTTGGAAGTTTGTTTTTGTTCATGTCATTAGCGTCGCAGTCCGCCATCATCAATCCACTGCCGAACGAAGGCCTCACCTCCCAAAATCTGTTGCCATCTCTCGCGATCCTGCACAAAATAGCAGGATTCCATTCCGGTGCTCCATTCCCTCGGTAGATGTTTCTATCAGGCGCGTTTCCATCGCTTTGCTGCCACTCCGCGATTCATTCTTTGATCGTCGGCCACCATCCCTTCGTTTGAGAATGCTGCTTCATCTCGTCGGGCTGGCCGCTGAATCTGATTTGAACCCTGAATCTTGACTGTGACGACTAACTGCTTTGACGAAGCAAATTATGAAACTCCCAAACCGCCCGTGGGCCCCCTCTCTCGAGCGTCGTTTTGATGGCTGGAGTGAAACCGCGAATGTCCCACTGTGAGCCTTCATCGTGACCTGAAACCTGGCTCCCTTAGAACTGAGACACTAGGGACGTGTATAGACTCCATGTTCCCATAGCTCAAGAGGCCAACTAGGTCACCTGAAGCTGGTTCAGTGAGTGCCTAACAATCACCCTGCGATGTCATACAGTTGTCTGGAAAAGCCCCACTGGGTGCCCCGGATACTCTATAAGAGGGCTTTTTAGTTTTGCGTTGGGCTATTTCACCAATTCGTTTAGCACATGGGAGGACACTTTGGCATACCCAGAGAAAAACGCCGTTGCCCCGCGTTCGGACGCCTCGCGCACACTTACGATCTTCCTGCGATCCAGTGACCCACGTGCTGTGTGCCACGCCATGTAGGCTCTAAAGCTGCAATTGAGGCTTGGGCGCCACCGGTTGGAACGTTACGCACGAATAAAGAAGCCAGCGCACTGGCTCCGCATTGTCGGCTGCGTGGGCCGACCCTCACTGTTGTTGTTTAAGAGTTCGTAAACAGGAGCAGGGCCGAATGAGCGTGTGAACCAAAAAAAATGCACTTCCTTGTGTACGTGCGCGCGTAGGCATGGGCGTTGCACGTGTGTGGGCGTGTGCACACGCGTGACCCACACGTGTGCGGTAGACATGCAAAACAGGGGGAAGAAGAGGAGTTCTGAAAGTATTTTTGCCGTTGTTAATCACGACGTTCAAACTCGCGGTGATCCCAGGGCCCACCGGCAGTGGTTTCACGAGAGGAAAGTCGAATTTGCGATTTTGTGACCTGTCACACCATTGGGACGTGTCGCCGAGTTTCTGGTTCTAAACAGAAGGTGACAACGCAAAACATCCCTCGTCAACTTATCATTGTGTGGCCCTCATTTTCAGTTGAGCGCACTGAGCAATTGCTGAAATTTTCTTAAACGATTTAAACTCTTTTTTATTACAAAAGTATTAAATGCCATTTTTATTTTACCAGGTGAGGCCCAGTGAGCTGTATAGCTCTTTAAAAAAAAACAACCTGGCCACAATTAATAGCCCAATGAGAAGTGGCTTATCACGTAGCAAAATACTCTCAACGCATGTTTCTAAATGTGGAGGGAAAAACCTGAGGATCCGGAGAAAAAAATCCACATGACCATGCGGGAGAGAGACGTGCAAACTCCAAATATACAGCAGGCATCAGGGTTGGGTTCAAACCCGAGACCTCCTGTGTACCAGGCGAGTTAACATCTCGCCAGCGTGGAGCCCACATTCCAATGGCAGAATCCAGTATGTCCAAGTAAACCCAAACCACTGTCTGACTTCTCGCAGACGAAGTGGTAATGCATTTTAGAGACCGCACCCCAGCATGATAAGCCACGTCTCATCACCGATCCACAGCTTTGGACTTAATTTACTCCATTGTAAATCAGGTGGAGAAATATTTTTGGGACGTAACGAATTGAGCTCGTAATAGCCGTGTCGGAGCACTGAGTCAGCACTGCCGAGAAGCAGTGTAGTGACGTAGTTCCGAGACCCCTCCTAACACAGCATGTGGATAGGGTTGATAACATTAACAGTGTTTGTAAAGAACACACGTACGTACTGCTGTTGGTCAGGGTTATTTTTTTTTAATGACAACCCTCTTAATAAACGGTTGGTCACTGTGCGTCGTATGCAGTGACACTCGTAAGTAGTGCAACGTCCGGTATCTGTTGCCGCTGAGGACACGGATATTATTGTTCTGTTGTAGATTACAGCCATTTGGCGTTGACCGTTGATGGTCAGTTGATTTAATATTCGACGCCACCTAGAATTGCGTTATCGATGCGAAATCTGCGAAAACGCTTTCAGTGAGAAAACGTATGTGACGGCTTCGTCTGCGGCCACGTCACGGACGCCTCTTGGGTTTTTTTTTCCTTCTGGAAATGCCACTGTGCAGATGTTCGCGGTTAAAATGGAGAAAAGGAATGACATTTGTGGGGGCGTGTTTTACACTCGCTCTATTTCAATATTTCTAAATGCGCGATGAATTAATCCGTTTATTTGCTTGTCGCGTGGTTCAAGGGGGGCACGTGACTCATAAGTGGAAGGGTCACGAGTTCAAACCCTTGGTCAGGGGTCGACTCGGCTAATCATTCATCCGAGGTCACTAAAATGAATACCACTTTGTCTTTTTTGGAAGTCTTCAAATGGTTGTTCCATGGAAATATTGGCAACCTGTCACGGGAATGTGGAATTTTCCACCGCTGGCCCCCGGCAACGATGAGCACTGCCCAAAATTCATTTGGGCAAGAGGGATGCTTCGCTTTAATATATATTCATTCGATAGTAATTGATGGCATTACATATAATTATTTTTCTTTTTTACATTCGGTATTCTCAATATTGCACTTATTAGAATGAAAATTCAACACATTCGTGACGAACACTCCGGCCTTAAAATAAAAAAATATATATTATCAGTGGCATTACAGGAAATGCCTGAAATGTCGCCTATTAAAGATTGTTTTCTTTAAGGCCACAGCGTTATTGTTTATTGTGCTTTGTGCACCGCTACCAAGACAGTACTACAATGGGTTAGCACACGGATGAACTAAACATGACCAATTTATAGTGGGAGGTTGCTCTTGGTGTTTAAACACCAGGCAACGTGTCCTTTTTAACAAAACCCCAATCCATCTCTGAAATGAGAGCCGCACGTCTCGTGTGGTTAATGACTCGTCGTTACGTAGCCCTTTGATTGGAATTATTATTGAGTCTGTTGTTTTTTGAAGCAATACACAGACATAAGTGCCAGAGCCACAATGAACATGGCGAATCTGTTGTGCAGTCACTTTACCCACCAAATAATGAGGCGCTATCATCGTGATGTGTTAGTTATTTTGATCGTCATTGCTCATCCTTCTGTTTGTTGTTTACCGTTCGCAGGTCAGTGACTTCCTGTCAGGCCGCTCACCTTTGACCCTCGCCCTGCGCGTCGGAGATCACATGATGTTCGTGCAACTTCAGCTGGCGCCCCAGCAACACCAGCAGCAGCAGCAGCAGCAACGGCAACAGCAGCAGCAACAGCAGCAGCAGCAACAGCAGCCGCACAGCCACCATCACCACCACCACCATCACCACCACCACCACCACCATCACGGCGCTCCCCGCGACCCGCGCTTCCAGCGCTACTCGCGGGACCCGCGTGCGCACTCGCACGCCACGGGCTGCCTGCACTCCTGCCACCAGCGCCAGAACCGCTCCGCCGCCTCCTCCTCCTCCTCCTCGTCTTCCTTCTCCGGGGGCCACCAGGCGTCCGGGTCCAGCGCGTCGGCCGGCGGCGTCTCTCCCTTCGTCGCCCAGCACCAACGGGCGGCGCCGCCAGCGGGCCACCACGGCTCGCCCGGCCACCACCTCCCCGCGGCGGCCCTCCAGGCGCAGCCCGCTCATCAGCTGTCGGCGCGCCACCAGCTGCCGGCCGCCACTCAGCACGCCGGCTCCTCGGGCCATCCGGCGTTCTCCCTGAGCCACTTGGCCGGGCAGCGGCAGCAGCAGCAGCAGCAGCCGCCGGGCGGCAGCTCGTCGCCCACGCAGGCCCCCGCGCCCCACTTCGGCAGGATGTCCAATCAGGCGTGGCACGCGGCTCGGGCGGCCAATCAGAGCTGTCCATGCGGGCCGCCACCCACGCCAGCTGCGGCCCACGTAAGTAGTCGGTGCCATCGTGGGGACGGCGTTTTGTCCACCGCTGCGATTGTTCCCTTTTTGTCATCGTCGACTCTAAATCATCATCATCATCACCATCGTAAATGTGGTCACTGTATTATATACAGGCCGTAATTCAATGGTGTGACAATATAAAATGACAGTCATCAACCAAACTACCCAGTAACCATGGAAAGTTCCAACAGATCCAACCAACGTTGACCCAGCATTGTCTGTTTACTGGGTAGTTATTTACAGCCCAAAAGTCAAAGTGCCCTCCCCACTAACATCACATCAGAGCAGTACTCTGCATCCTTTTTGAATGGTGACATTGCTACGGTGGATTCTATTGTCTCCCAAAGACGACCACTGCTGACCTGCACAAAGCGTCGGGTACTAGTATGCCGCAGCTTCCTTTCATCATGGTGCGGAGCGCATTCTGAAGTACGTCTAAAGAGTGTCAGCGTCAAGCCATGAAACTAGGCTACCAAGGGGGAGCGCAGCACTGTTCTGCCGACTCCTGTAGCTCGGCGGGCTTTTTGCAAGCTTCCCGAGGTTCGTTTTCTCACCTTGATTTATTTTTCATTTCTCATTTCACTAAAAAAAAAAAAATTAACCGGGTGAGGACAACATCCCGAGGTCATCGATTCCATTTTGGGTTTTGTAAATCGCCCTGCCCAGGCCCCCGCCCCTGGTCGGGTGAGATTCCATCAGATTCCATCACACGACCGGGGTGTCGTGCGCAAGGCTATTACCGTGTCGGTAATTGCCCTTCGCACACGAGCCTCAAATTGCCCCCCGTGCTCAAGAATGGTCAATGCGCAGCACGGCCACACTCCAAAAAACAAGGGTCTTTAAATCCAGATGTCAGGCTATAATCGGTCGTCTACAACTTCGGCAGGAACAAGGCTTGTCAATATTTTGTTTCGAGCGACTGAAATGTATCGAAACGCCGATTTGCGCTCCCGCAATTTGGTACCGGGTGTAACACGTGATCAGCTGGGCTGGCGGGAATGGTCCAAAATTGTTATTTTACTAAGGGGTGTGGAGAGGCGCAAGGGGTGGGGGGGGGCGATGTCGTGACCCACACGAGGCGATGCAAGTTGTCGCCGACACGCTCCGGCTCAAGAGACAATTGAACTGCGGCCTGTGCCGTCAGGCACTCAGAAACTTTCATTTTCATTATTAATTATAATGAATAATTACCTTAGCCAATGCCCGGGAGCGTGTCCGTGGTCACTTATGAAAGCCGAGTTTTTAGAGTGAATACTAAAAGCTGATCCATCCGCACACTCTAACGAGGACCACGAGATCTTCGGATAACATCGTCTTCTCAGTACTCCGACGAGGTCAAGGCTCATTTCCTGCAGGGGTGATGGGGCTTTCGCCAGTGCAGCTCCCAAGCTTTGGGACGTTTTGCCTTTGCTAGTTATATATATTTAAGTCTGTCTTGAAAACTCACCTCTTTAAATTTGCTATTACCCCTCCTCGTTTTGGCCGTTTACCCTGCAGGTTCTGTTTATTTCCTGCTTTCCAAACACGGGACGCATTTGGATCTACGGATGAAATGAGCCTTACAAATTTACATTATTATGATTAAAACGCGGTTTTCTTTGGAGTTGAATACACTGATTCACTTCCGGCCACTGCATCTGCCAAGTCGGAAGAGGTGTGCGATGGACCGAGTAAGACCAACCACACGTTCATTTCGAGAAACCCGTCACGCTAGCGCGCGCTCGCGTTTAGCGTGACCTGACGCTCGCTGCTCACTTTAATAACCAGCAGCCTACGCGTGGGAGTTAAGTTTCTCTTTGCAAATGCGCGGGGTGTGCCGCTACCGTTGTAAGCAGCAGCTTTTGGCTCTCGAAATCGCCTCGGCGGAATTAAGAGACAAACCAGATTGTATTTGGTCGTTCTTCGTGCGGTCATTGCCGACCGGGCTAACGCCATCAGCTCATTACACTTCAGACCTGTGAAGAAACGTAGATGTAACAAAAGAGCTTTTTTCTCGGACAGGCGTTGTCGATCCGACGCGAGGGCCCACAACAACGAGAAGAGGTTTTACCCTTTCTGACAATAAAACAGGAGGTGTTAAGATGGTCAAACGCCAAATAGAAAGACACCTTTTGCAAGGAATCAAGCCTGCATTAACCATGCTCTGATAATACCTATTATTTTTCATACTTTGATACTGGCGAAAAGGTCCCATGACAACAACAACAACAACCCTTGAGCACTTGGCGCAAGCCGCACAGGTGTCCGACACAAAGGCCGCATCCGGAGGACGGTGCCGGCTCGGCGCTCGGAGGGTCCCCCGAGTAGCCCCGGATGCGTCGTTCATAAGCGAGCTCCTAATTATAATCATCAGCATCATACACGGCGACGCCGTGACAATCGGTGCGGTGTGGAGCCCGTGGACTGCGAGTTCCAGCGAGAAGAAGCCCCGCACAGTGGCATTCCTTCCCATATCCCACCCCCCGCCGCCACCACCCCCCGTAGGCCCATCACAGCGGGCGCAAAACCAGGTGCAACATCTGACTGAAATTTTCCACTTGCGATGCCCACGCACGAGCAATAACCCACAAAAAGTAAAATATTTTTTTTTATAAAAGAAAACGCGCTGGCAGTGCGTCCAAATTTTTACGTGAATAGGTCATGGCGTAAAGCGCTGGCGCTGGGTATCCAAAAGACGTTTGGGCCTCTTCCCAAGTCCGAATCGTGATCCCACCGGCTTGAGGGAGCGCGTATCTAATGAGCGAGCGAGCACGCCATGGCTTGAGCTCGAGCGACACCATCGCTCGAACGGCGGAGCTGAGTCCAAGCGGTCGACCCCCCACACCAACCCACTCACCGGCATGGGGATTCGCGGGCACGATCCGCGGGGGGGGGGGGGGTCTCAAGCTGGACCCCCCCCCCCCCCGCACCTCCCCGTACCACCGCGCACAACCGCTGCTACCACCGTGACGTTTCCGAGAAAGTGCGCGTAGCAGCGAAACCGTTTGGCCGGCTGAGCGATGAGTTTGCGTGACGTAGTTTCTCAAAATTCCGTCGTCGCTTAAATAATGAATTGCTTTGTTTATTTTGGTCGAGCGCATTTTTGTTGGCGGTGGTTGATGGGTGAACAAATGCACTTTCGGGGCGAGAGATTAGATGTGCTGACTGCTTGGGTCTTGTCAATAACAAAGCAGTAACTTTGCTGAATTGTGTCGCGAACACCTATTGATAAATATTACTTCAACAAAAACGGACTAATTTCTAAAGTAATTCACTTAATTCTCAAAACATTGCGGTTTCCCCTGGAAACGCGCGTACCAGTGTAGCTTACAGCGTGTAAACACGAAATAGCTGCCGCATCCAGTGCTTCAGGCCACGAGTCTCCCCATCATGTTTACGCAGCTGATGGTCCAGAGCAAACCCTAATTAATTACAATTTAAGATCACAAGCTGCGAGACGCCGTCCAACGACATCGCTGACGTTGCGAACCCAACGCAAGCAGAGGTATTGAGTCTGTTTTGGGCCATCAGTCACGGACCAACTTTTAAATTGACGTTTGGGCCTCTTCCCAAGTCCGAATCATGATCCGAACAAAACACAATAAATGCAAACAAGAATAATGAAAATGGGCTTGCTTGTAAGCCCAGTTCATGAAGTGAAGCAGCCCACCACATATGTCTTGGAACGGCAATGATTGCAATAGGCATGACACTACGTCAAATCGGGGGGGGGGAGCCTCATCGTACAAAACAGAGTCTTTGGTGTCAAAGGTGGGTTTTATATTGCCCGGTATCATGAACATTTTTTTACTCAGTTTTGGTTACAAATAAAAACACACACACACACAGCGTACATCGCAAATGTGTGCGCGGCAGCCACTTTCATTGGCCGGAGTTATCACACGTTGTAAATGCCTGTTGAGAACCTCCGAGGAGTGTATGCAAAGAGGGCTCATCTGTCTTGGTCTTTTTACAAGCGGCTGTAGCGCGCGCGCACACACACACACACACAGCAGTAGATCTTGATATACATAACGCTGCACAGTCGGTGGTTAAAAAAACCCATTCACGGCAGACAATGAAACTGGGTTTTGAGGCCACTATAGCTGCTTCCGACCGAGTTTCGCACTCAAGCTGCGGCGTCATAACTATACGCGGTAGCATGCGTGCCGGAGCCTGGGTATAGCTGGGCTATAGACGGGTTTAGAACCGCGATGCATTCGCATCACCAACTTTGGCCCTGCTTCCTCCATCCCCTCCCAGGTCCCCCTCCCCAGCCTCCTAACCCCCACCCTCCAAATAGGACAACACAGCCGGGGGGGGGGGGGGGGGGGGGGTAGGGGGGCACCTTCGTGCGGGGCGAGGAAGTTCATGGAAATTATAATTTGTTTTGCAACAAGAGTTATGCGGGCGTAGGTTGTACCATTGTTCCGATCAGGAATGTAAATTGTTGTTGTGTAATGCACCCCCACGTATCACGTGATATTATTATTATTATTATGCGGCCGGCGGTGGTTGACACGCCTGCTGCTCAGCACTTGTCCCACGCTGCCCAATCGCTGCTCCCGTTTTTTTTAGTTTTTTTAACTTCGTAATTTTTTTTTGTTATTTTTCATTCCAGTATTTTCCCTTTTGTTTCGGCGTTAAATTGATTTGTTCAATAGTGCCCGGAGTTCTTTTGCTTTCAGATCCAATATAAATTCAAATTACTATCGCTATTAATAATGCCGTTTATTGAAGAGGTAGTTATAATATCATTGGTTGTCATATTGATTATTATTATTTTTATATTTGTTTTTATCAAGGAAAGCATCACCGAATCTTTAAGACGCTTTTTTCAGGAGGGTCCTGCCAGATTTTTCACAAAACAAAAAAATTGTTCCCAAAATTGGGCAGCGCGGTGGTCAACGCACATGGACACGAAACAATAATCAACAATGACGTACGTAAATTATCGAAAGTGTGTGTTTGATCCTCTTCCGGCTGTGTGTCACTGTCAGCATGCTCCACTCACAAATAGCCCATCAGCCACACTGCTCCGCAAGTACCACTCTTGTGGGGAAAGTTGACGGGAAAATTGTTCTACAGAGTGACTGGAGTGACTGGCACACCTGCCGTGGGAATGTGGAATTTCCATCTCTGGCTTTGAGCCAACCTTAGGGGGTGTGAACACTGCCCATAGTTGCCGGTTGCAAGGAGACACGCTGACTTAGAGAGGTGGTAAATCTCCTTGGTGCATCGTCTGGAAAACCGAATATGAACTTTGGCGCGCGCGTGTGTGTGTGTGTTCTCTACGTCCTCTGCTCCGCACACGGCAGGCGTCGACGCAAGCGCCGGCCAGCACGGCGGTGGCGGCACCGGCGCCGTCCGCTCACAGCCGGGCCCGCAAGCCCGGGGCCATCATCGAGAGCTTCGTCAACCACGCTCCTGGCGTCTTCTCTGGAACATTCTCCGGTATGTTTGCTTGTTTGATTTCTGAAATCTGCGGCAGTCTGGAAGGCTCTTCCGATATTAGGAAGCCCCACTGGAGCTTTGCGCTTTGAAATCATCTGGATTGAAAACTAATTTCTTTAGAACTGCTTTTTGTGCGTTTTGGTTTGTCCTCCCGCACTACCGATGAGCACGGTTGGCTACGTACAGTGCGAAAGAAGTTTACATGACACCTGGCTTCTTTTCAGTTCTGTGCAGCAATGTATTTTCCTGGGTAAATAGATCACATTCGCGAAAAAGATATTAACAAACAAAAAATCGCCGGCGCACCGTGCCCGGTTAATCAGCCACCTTAAAGACCAATATTGTGGGTCGTACTACCGGTGGTCGCATTCTCTTATCGGCTCACATTCCTCTCCCTGCAAATGAGCACACGGGTGGCAGCTCAATCAATGTGTTTGCTGTTTTTTTTGTATTCGTAAGTAATTTGGTTAGTTAGGACAGCCATTAACTTCTCAAAGGTCATTTTTATTGATCCCCAACTCGCATTCTTCCAACTGTGAGTCAGGCGCTTTAACCAAAGCGCGCACCGCCTGGTCGGTTGAACCTTTGCGTTTGTCTGAAACGGACGTAAAACCTCGCATTCTTGAAATAAGCGCAAGAAAGTTATTGTGCAAGTGGCGGAGTGGGGAGGTTTGGGGTCCTTGTAAATAGCAGTGTTTACAACGTGGTCATGGCGACTATGAGGATGCATTCCATCGTAGATAAGGTAAAGAGTCAGAGCTTTGGGGGCCTTCAACCGGACGCCTTTTCAATGTCAGTCATACCCATCTCTATCTGTCTCCTGCTGTTCACTCTTGTCACCGACACATTGCACGGTTGAGCGAGCTTGTTGGTTGTGTGAATGTTAACACGCGCACTTTGGGAGGAGGAGGAGGCGGCTGGCTTGCGTCAGGAAGCAGAGAGGCGCCCGTGTCAGAGATACGCAGTCACGCTGCTTAATAGGGGGGCTGGGTTCAAATCCAGCCGCCCATCACCCCTTGTGATTGAGCCACAGTCTCAAGTGTGGCGAGTTCAAAGGTCGCGGCTCGGTCACCAAGGACGGCACGAACACAACCAATTTTCTTTTACTTTAATTGGACGACCCAGTTTAGTTTGCGGAGGGCTTACACAATGTATCGACTATATCGCACGACTGGTGTACGGCAGGATGACTCCGTTGTGGAGAATGAATGAGTGGCCATCTTCTGGGGTTGGTTAACGAAGTCCCTTCTTCCTGGTTCCCCGTCGTTCTTTGTCGGTGGGATATACCCGGAGCCGTTCCGTGACGCGGCATCGTGCCACGCGGCCCGAGGGTCGTGCCACAAGGTCATCTCCTCACCTCATACACTTAAACTCCCCCCGTAACCTTGAGTCACCAGCCCTCAATCATTCAGGTGAGTCGCCCATTGTGTGCCAGAGAGACAGCCCCTTTATCTAGGCTTTTGGAGTCTACAGGCGGGAGAAGGTGGTACAGCAAAAATGTGTACTCCGTCTGTTCCGTCTGTATGGGATTAAGTGTTGCCCCCTCGCACGACAGTGGGCTTTCTCCGGGTGTTCCGGTTTCTTCTCGCCTGTAAGCACCCATTAATTGGCCGATAACGCCTTGACATTTAGAGGATCGTGGAGCTCGGGCATTTGTTGGTAGCGCCGGCTTGCCCGCCTGTCTGTGGTTCCTCCTCGCGCCTCTGAGTCGTTGTCTGTCTTCGAGAGCGAGCGGATACTCTGCAGCGGTGGCGGCACGTTGCAAGTTGAAATAAATTACTCGTTAAAATATCCAGTGGTCTCCGAGGTCGCCCTTCCAAAAGAGACGGTTGCTCCTAATGGGGGGGCCCTCTCACTCTCCAGGCAAAACAAAGGGCAGTCAAATCATTCCACGCATATGTCAGTTGTTTGCTTTTCGACCATCAAAAAGTGGCGGAAAGTGATTGGAGTTCGGCGCTAAATCGTCCCGCGGTCGGCGCGCTTGAGCCCTCGAGCTGAACGGCGCGCTCACGCTTGATCGTCAGAGGTAAGCGGAGAAGTGGGCCCGCTGTTAAATGTTCCGCCGGTGAAGTGTGTGCTTCGTGCGATTCGAGAGCGGCCCGAGTGGCCCCGCGCTTTCCGCCCGTCCCCGCCGAGTCCGCCCAAGCCTGCGTTCGAGCCCCGTCCCCCCACCACCGCCCCGACCGTGTGAGAGTGACGGTGTCTTGTAGGTCAGGGGTCGGCGCTTTCCACGCGTGTGGCAGCGTTTGCACGCTTGTAGCACGGCAGCGGCGTGTTGCCAGCGTGGGTTTTTTGTGGATCGAGCAGAGATGTGTGAGGGTGGTACTGGCAACGGAAGGCAGCACAGCAAGTGGGCTGGTTACCCTTTTGTGGGGATTTTTTTCAATGCCTTTCCCTTCGTACGCACGGTGACGGGGTTTTTTTTTTGGTTCTTCATGATTCAAAACGCTCATTACAAAAGAAATGGACAAACATCCCAGCGAGACTCTTAATGTTTAAATATGTGCTTGACGACGCCTCGCCGAGCCTCAAGATGTACTTCTCAGCAAGGCCCTCTTTGTGATTTTTGGCCTTGAGCTTTGTTTTACTCACGTGGTGGCCTGGAGAAAATACTCGCGAAGAAGGGGGGGGAGAGGGGGGGAACGGCCGACGAAAGAAACGTCCACGCAGATAGTTCAACATCCAATTTGCTGTCCTGTGCTCACCACGTGGTACCTCATCGGCCCTGCAGGGTGGGGAGAGCCTTTCAATGGGGATCAACCAAACCGCACCCTCTGCATCGCCGTGTTCCCAGCCGCGCCAAACGCGGCACAACTTGCAGAACTACCTTGGAAGTTACACTGCGGGCCGATGTGCGAAATCACTGTACCTTACCCTGTACCTCCATCTGTACCTTACTCGGAGCTGTAAAATCGATTTTGTAACGTCGTGAGGGGCAGAGTAGCATCACGCTGACGATGCACGTGATAGCAATCATATATTGCATTTATAAGGCGCAATTCATCCACAGATCTCAGTGCGCCATGCACGAAGTTCAGAAAAAGAAACACTTACAAAAGTCCAAAGGTCCACTGGTCATACATGGGAAGTGTCGGCCGGGCGAAACAAGTGTAGTCTTCAGCGACGGCCTACAACACGCCCAGTGACCTCGCCCGTCCGACCGCTGGTGTGAGGGCACTGCGTAGTGTTTCCCGTACGTACGTGCGGTGAACTTCTTTCGCGCCGCACGTGGCCGGCCGCGCCGACCGTCCCGCGGCGGCAGAGGGTCGGCCACGCCCCCTCCCCTCGCGTCTTCGCGTTCGCCGGGGGGGGGGGGGGGGGACGCCGCCCGCTCTTTTGTTGCTGCGCTTCGTTTGGAGGGTGGAGTTGCTTGGAAATTAGCCTCGGTACGCGAGGGGGGGGGGGGGTAACGTCCATTGTTTTTCGCGAGTCCAGCGCTGCACGCTGTGAGCCGCAAGAAAAACTGAAATTTTTCCGAAAGTCCCCAGCTAGGATCAGCTGCGGGAGTTCCAACCTGGGCGTTGCTTGCTCATAGTCGAGTTCTTTTTTTCCCACCGCCGCTTGCAAATTCTCACCTTAAATTCCCTTTTTGAGGCCTTCTCCTGTAGGCAGATGTTGTAGGTAAGGTCTGCGGCATGGCACGAGCAAGCCTTGTGCTGATATGTGCACACAGCACCCATCGACTCATTCTGGCCGAGTTGTCCGAGAGGTTGGGGGGAGCCCAGGATTGGTACAGATACTACTTGCCACTAATGTTGTGTTTGCCCAGAAGCTAAGTCCACTGGGATCATAGCGTAGCTACTGCTCACCATTGTAACCACGGACCGTGCTGTTAGTGAGCGCCTATGAAGGGCGGCTCGGAAGAAGAGGGAGTGGTGTGGCCGGAACTGAGCCCAGCAGCCTCGGTCTGCCCAGTGCTGATGTTTAGTCTTAGCACCAGATACACATTTCAGGTTGAGTCAACCTAGGGGTAGGTCCACGGTGGGTTCACATGTCGCTCACCACCAATCTTTGCTGGGAATCAAACTTGGTACGCTGGGTTCGTAGCGCAGTGCGTGACCCACTGCACCACTACTCCCAGCATTGGTGTGCGTGGGTGTCGGTGTGTGTGTGTGTATATATATGCATACACACATTAATTTGTTTAATTTAAAACAGCAATGCCTGCATTGGGCTGATAAAGGTTTTTTTTTCTTTTCCCGAAATCATGCGTTACCAATGTGACAATGTCAACTTGTTTCTGCGGCGCTGGTGACTGCACTCCTCGAAGGGCGGTGCGATCAGGGCCTCGGGAACGGGGGGGGCGGGGGGGGTCGCTCTCTCGTGCCTTGCAGAATTAGCAGTAGGATGCATAAACAATGCCTGCAGAGGGGGGGGGGGGGGCAGGTCCATCAACAAAATGAGACGGTGGGGGGGGGGGGATGAAGTCCAAACAAACAAAAGCTTTGGCAGCTGCCTCCTGTGCGTCCCGTCAACAACGCTGACCGAGGCCGGAGGCGTGCGGCCAATCCCGTGCCACCGTTTGTGACCTGTGACAATCAGTGGAGCCAATCGGATTGAGTCGTAATGTCGAGGAAGGAGGAGGAGGAGGAGGAGGCGGCGGAGGAAGGGGGGATGAAATGTTTTGTTTCATTAGTCTGGACAGGGGAATCGGGCGTGGTGGTGTGCAACAGAAAGTCAAGGTTTCTCCCGTTTTCCCAAATTTGTATCCTCCACAGGGGTGACCCAGTGCTGGTTGACGATATTCCGCATTCTCATGGCGGGGATTAGTTTATAGCTAAACAAATAAACACCTTTTGGAAGGAAGATAACGGTTAACACGCGATCCCTGTCCTAGAGTTGAACTCGTGACCTCCCCCCTCCCAACCCCGATTGTGAGCTAAGTGCTCTGCCCCAGTGCAAATTTGCTCATAAAAGAGAAAAAGCATGAAAGAAATGCCGCAGCCACTGTTGTGCAAGAAAACTAACCAATCAATCAACCGGATTACCTTTATTTGGAATCAGGTGAGGAGCCATCGGGACAAAGTCTTGTTTTGCAAGGGAGAGAGCTGGGATTAGCAGTTCATTAACTCTTGTAAACACTCACAACTGGGCAGACCTTTCGAGAAGTACGAATTGAAAAAAAGATGTATCTGGTAGTTTCCTGCACCGCTATTTAATTTGAGACTTTGAACAACCGCAAAAAAAACTCCCTGTGTTTTTCAAGGTGTGCGGTATTTGTCGCTTCCTGTATCGACAGGAGTCTTAATATAATGACAGGAATCCGTACCATTGTCTACGAGTGGATGGGGTGATTAACACATCATCATTATCGCTGCTGCCTGCGTTTCTTCAACAAAAGCCGCTTTCCCTTCCATGAGGAAATGGACAAGGTCAGTGGCGCAGGTGGAATTACTCTTATTTTAGACCTTTCTGCGCCTCTTACGTGCGGGTTTGGTAACCTCCGCAACGTGCTAAAAGATCGGCCAAGAATATTTCCTGCCCGGTTGAATGCCTGCAACTCGCCTGTCTTCACGGCGGGCATCTCATCTTACTCTGCAGCCTCCTCCCCCGTCTGTGCTTTGTGCTCCAGACTCGGCACAACCCTCGTGTTCCGCTTCTCGTGAGCCGCGGATGACAGCACTCCCTTTTGTCCACAGTCTCTCGCTGGAACAATTGTGGTCTTGAGGTGTCCCGGCTCGGTCGACAACGATAATAAACCAGGAGCAAGCCCGCACGCCCCCCCCACCCCAACATTTCAACAACGAGCGTTTTTTGTGGTTCCTGAGAAAGCGGTCTAGTGAAGCTGCCCACACTCCTCCCGAGGCTGTTTTTTTTGTCATTCACTATCAGCTGGACACTTGAGAGTCCTTTATTTAGTCATTTTGAAATAAATATACTGTCGTGTAAAACAGTTTTACCATTATTCTGAAGGGATTTTTTTGTTCACATCTGAGTAATCTACAAACCCTATAAGATAGGCGATATGCCACAGTCCAGCAGAGTGGCCCTGCCACTCAGAGGGCTTTGCTTCCGATTTGAAAGTTTGCAAGCTTTAAAATACCAGCTGAGAATCGACTGGTCCACACCCCATTGGTGTAAATAAAAGTGAGTTACGTTTTGCGGTAGATCAACAGTCGTCATCGTTTAAGAAGGCTCTGATGCTCAACGCAATAATCTGGAATTTCTATCGGAGCTCGGGGTATTGTGTTTATCCATCCGTAAGGTCCGTTGTTGATGCTTTAACAAACCCCCATTGTATACTCATTAATTCGTTATACGAGTAAAGAATATGTGGAAAATGTCAGATTAATTATCCCATATGATTGCAATTTTGGCTGCCTGTTGTGCCTACCAGTCACACCAGATCAGTGCATAAATTTCTTTGCTGGAAAGGGAACAATAAAGACCCTGTGACATCACTCACAAGAGCAGGTCATTATTGTGCCAACATATTCATCACAAACCCAGCCTAATTGCCTCAACAACAAAAGCCAGAGAGGCCCAGCACTTGTCAAGTAAAAACCACGTCCAATGCCAGAATGTTTTTTGCTTCTGCAACCGCCCACCAAACGCACAAAGACTGACCATCCCGTATATCGCCTCTGTTCTGTTTGCGAGCACCTACGCAGGCTGCAACGAGAGACGCACGAGGGGTGGGCGGTGGTGTGCCCAGCACCCATAGGCGGAGTTTGACTTCTATATTTGGGGGGAGGCAGAGCCCAGGGTTTGCTTTGTCTCTCATACTAGGAATCGCGGGTGCATATCATTAATTTATTTTTGAATCTGAATTGTAAACTACTGACAATGAATTAATGTGTCCAGTTTGGACGGGGCGTTGCCTTGCCGCGCCCCCCCCCGTGCGCCCCCCCCCCGTGCGCCCCCCCGTGCGCCCCCCCCCCCCCCCCCGTGCGCCCCCCCTTCCCCACAAACTCCGCCCATGCCAGCACCTTGTCTCGCCAGTGGCGATGTTTACACACCACACCAGGTACTCACTTGAGGCTGAGCCAACCTCGGGCAGGCCCCAGGACCAGTTCAGATAATCACTGATGTTGCTAGCGGGAATCGAACTCGCACACGCACGCACGCACGCACCCACGTGTTTTCATAACATTACAAGGAGGATCCTTGTGGGACCTTTTTTGCCGGTATCAAAGTATGAGAAAATAAACTCCTTAAAAAAAGTTTTTTTTTTTTAAACAACGGTTTTATTAACAACTTCGTTTAACTCGCGGTCGAGGAGGACGTCAATGATGCGGCACCTGCTCCCACATAAACACTTACATGAATACATGTATTACTTCTGTAACTGGTTGACACGGAGCGTGCGTACCTGAGACACGTGGCGCCTGCTTCTTGGGCGAAGGCGATTGGAGAGTTTAGGGACCGCGGCGTTTTTTACCTGCACAAATATATATAAATAATAAGGCGTCCATACAAAATGTTAATTGCTTTAAAGTAGCGAATTCGTTGATTAATTGATGCCGATTTTGATACAGGCATGCATTGTCACCGGATCTGAGTACGTGTACAAAATGTGGAATTGATTGGACAACGGGAAGTAGACTAACTTTTGATTACAAGATTTGACCACGACACAGGAATCAAGTAAAACCGTTGAAAAAGAGTCGCTTTTTACCCTTCCTGGCAATAAAACAGCAGGTGTTAAGATGTTCAAACACCAAACAGACACCTATTGCAAGGAATCGTGCATGCATGAACCGCACGTGCTTGTGGTGAACATGCAAACTATTTTTTTGTAGTTGTATTCAAGGGTACTTGTGTTCAAAAATAACCCGACACAGTGGGATTTCTGCTCGAACAAACGGGCCTTTATTTGAACCAGGTGAGGGCCCGTCGAGGCCTCGGAAAGCCAAGGAAATTTAATGGAAAAAAAAAAACATTTTAGTGTCATGCCGCTTCCCTCGCCCGTGTGCACATTTCCTGATGCGAGCTCGCCACCGAACTTGTTTGCACAAACATTTCTTGGCGGGGGGGGGGGCCCAAGAGACTCGAGGCTCGGGTCTTGAGTGGGAGGGGGCAGCCTTCTCTCGCATTAGCAGCGCTGTTTGCCGTTTAGATAAGGAATTGCCTAAGCGCACAGAGCCCCTGCAGCAGCGGGCATGTTTGTAAAGTTTTGTAGACTTTGCTTTTCTGTCACTTGAAACCTTTGCCAGTCCCCCCCGAGCGGCCGACAGACGAAGGCGCTCGTTTCCACCACCGCACGGCGGCGAGGAGACAAAGACAAAGCTCCCCCATGTAGCCTTGACAGACTGCTGGGGCAAGTGCTGTTAGCGAGCAGCACCTATGAAGGCCGGCACGGCACACGAGGGGGTGGGTGGCCAGCAACCACGCCCAGCCGCCTTTGTCTCCCAGTGGCGATGTTTGCGCGCCACACTAGCTACTTATTTGTGGCTGAGTCGGCCTAGGCGGGGCCCATGACCGGCTCAAATAATCGTCACGGCTGTTGGCCACGAGTGGAAATTGAACGCAGGTCGCCAGGGTTCGTAGCCCAGCGCGCTAACCACCACTACTGCTCCCCGTACACACACACGTACACAAACACGTTCTTCGGATGCAGCTCGATCACGCCAATCCGGCGTTCACCTTACAGGTATCGTCGCGACCAACGCTACCACCGGCGCAGTGTTTTCGTGTCGCCGTATCCCCGCCGCGCCGAGTACCGGCGAGCGCCAAGTGGCCGAGGATTTGCAGATTTGACCACCGCGGTTTGGGGATGCGGTTGGAAAACTGGCCGTTTCTAAAAATAGGCTGAACGGTGGCAAACGGCCGCTCTCTCTCTCTCTCTCCTTTATTTTGTTTTCGGGCGAGGGTCCCCATCTTGGGGCACTGACCACAGAGATTGCGGCCGTTTATATTTTCGTTTCGGTGTTATTGTTGGAGAGGCGAGAAGTGATTGCTTAAATCCTGCTGTTGATTGTTCTCTCGATTATTTTGTTGACTTGATCGAATATGCCCGATAGTTGTCGTGGCAGAGCGTGTGTGCAACTCGCAATCAGAAAGTTGCTAGTTCAACTCCTGTTCGGTGGCTGACTCGGCTCGGCATCCTTCGAGGGCAAATGATATTGGTTCCGCTTCAAGGGAGGTGTAGAGTGCAGACCGGTCTTCGCCCATCTGCTCGTGGAATTTACACATCTGGTTCACCGGGCCACCAATCAATAACTGCTGATGGCTCGGTGTGTCGTAAGCAATAAGTGTATTTTAAATAAGAAAATGGCCAATCAAGTGTCAGGCATTTCAAAAATTTGTGTTTCTTGATCAAAGATGTGCGTATACAGAGAGGCTGTCGATTAATCGCAAAGCTTTGTCTGTTACGCTACTCATGCGCGTAGTACAAGTGGTTTTGAGCAGGTTGAGAGGTGCGTTGCGTCAGGGCAGGTTTTCGATGGATTTCGTAAACCACTCTACGTGTAGCGTAGAGGTGAATGTGTGGTGTTGATGCATGGGTCTGTGGGACAGGATTAACCTTCCTGTTTGTTACATCTCTGAACAAATCAAATGGAAAAGAGGCATCTGGCTTCTCGGCAAAAGTACAGGGCAAGCACCTGGGGGATTTGGACACGTGGTTAGGGTGGGACACACGGTCAGGATGGAAGACGAGGGCTGGGTCACCGACACGGGCATTGGAATGACTCCCGGTGGTCGGCGACCAAGGTGAAGACTTAAACGCCTGACGGTGGCGGTGACGCACCTAGAGCAAAAACTTGGAGGGTTGGTGTCAAGCTTGCATCAGCCGGGTTGATCTGGCAGAAGGAAGGCTCGGTGGCAAGGCGTGATGATATCAACATTGCATTGATTGAAATTGATTTTGCTCTGGTCTCTCTCTGCGGCGCTCAGGCACGCTGCACCCCAACTGTCAGGACAGCTTGGGCAAACCTCGTCGGGACATCAACACCATCCTGCACATCCTCAACGACCTGCTGAGCGCCACTCGCCACTACCAGGGCATGCCTCCCTCCCTGCAGCACCTCCACCGCCACGCTCAGGCGGCCGCCACGTCCGTGGGGGGCAACGCGAACGGCACGGGAGTGTCCGGCCAGGGCCTCGCCACCCCCGTGCCCTCGCCCGCATCCTCCCCTTCCGCCCACTCCTCTTCGCCGTCTTCATCCCCCGCCGCCACCTCCTCGTCTTCTTCTCCGGCCACTGCCGCCCCCCTTCCTCCTCCAGCTGTTGCTGCTGCTGCCGCCACTCCGGTGCCTTCCCAGCATGCACTGCATCAGCAGCTCCAGCAGCAGATCCAGCGGGAGCTGGCGCACCGCGTGGTGGGAGTGCGCTCTGCAGGTATGACGCAAGCTACGCGCGATTCCCCAGATCTTTTTGTTTTCTCATTTTTGTGTACATATATCTGCTGTACATCTCGCTATCTTGATATCTTGTCCTGTGGCGCTGTGGTTACATCGCTTGACTTGCAGTCGGAAGCTCTCGAGTTCCAATCGCGGTCAGAGGTTCATTTGGCTGCAAGTGAAAAAATGAGTCCAGCGTTGCGGAGAGTCAGAAGTGTGGGTGTAAGAAAGGGAGACTGGGCCCCACCAGAGGAATATGGAATTTCCGTTACCCGATTTTAGGCCATGCGATTTCTACCAGTGATTGCTCAAGCATTTGTGATGCTCATCATTGTTCTTATGATTTATAACAACAGTGCTCATGATTTCAAGAGCAGACCCGTTTGACTTTTCGGGATATAAATCCTCGCTCTCTGCCCAGCCTGTGTGATCATTGTATCGCATTAACTGCGCAGAAGGGTCCCCATTCGCACCCATGCTTAATTGCTTTTGAGAATGTTGCTTTAAGGAGGCAACCTAGTGCATACTCTACGGTTTGCTCAGACTCCCAATGGGGTTATTGGCAACTAATTTCCCCGGAACAAAAGGTGCAGGTTGGGTGATGCGTCTGAGAAATCATCGACGCTTCTTTTTGTGTTTCCGCGGCGCTCCTGTTTTGTTCCCTGGCCCGGCGAGCGTGTCGCTGCGTGCGTGCGTGTTGAAGTTACGTCACCTGCAAAGGGTCGCCGAACGGGCAGGCGGGTTGCAAAATTCCGCAGCGGCGTCGGCGCCGAGGCGTGCGAGCGATGACACCGGGTATCGTTTAGAATAAAACATTCGCTCGTTGAAGTTCATCGGGTTTATTTAGACAATGCGAGGAATCTCTTGGCGAGGATGGGGTGAAGCTACTTTGGAAGTCCAAAATAGAGGAGGTCATGGATGGGTGGGAGGTGTGTGCGCACGATGAGGGGGGGGGGGGTGCACAGATATGGAGACAGGCTTTGGATAGGGCCCCCGGAAAGATCGACCACCAACGGCTGGTCCGATAGCAAGATTGTGGGATGCTGCAAGAGCGGAGCTTAGGGGTCAGCTATCGACTGTCAAATTGTTTAGGATCTGACGGTGAAGGGACCACACGACAGCTTGGTGGAATCTCATGGGCATTGTTATATTCGAACTGAAGTTCTGCTTTAAAAAAAAATATATCTGAATTTATAGCCGTTGCTGTTGACAACTTCATCTTCTAACACCGGTGGCTGCAGGGCCCCGAATCGTTATAACAGAGGCGCGCATGTTTGCAATCGACTGCCTTGGAATCGAGGGCCCGTTGGACCACGCAGACGTGAAGCCATCGCGTACGCCACACGCGCACAGATCCCGAGGGAAGCAGTCGGATGGGCGGGAATGTCGACCGCGGCTGTAGGTGGCGGAGTTGCGGTCAGGGCCCTCTTTCTCACAAGCGGACGTTCGCGAGTTCGAATCCCTGACGGCGGGTCAGCTCCGCTCACCCGTCCCCCTGTAGCCATTCACTAGCCACCGTTCTGTCGGAAGCTAACAGCGGCAGCGGCTGCCCGGTAGACCGTCCTCCCCCTCCCACGCCCCCGCCGTGGAAACTGTCCCAGGGAGTCCTGCCTGAGCAGCATCACCGCGACGCCTGCTTTGAGAAGGGGGGAGACGCACGACCCGTGCGTCGTTTTCTCACCGTCGCTCTGAAAGCCACTGCCCTGCGCTGCTCGGCATGCCGGGCGAGGCCCTTGTTTGTGCCGTGCGCTGATGCGATCTGGAGGTTTTTTTTGCCTGGGCTTGCGGCTTGGTTTGTGTTTTTTTTTTTTCCATCCGCATTTTCCACGCGTGGACGGCCCCCGCTGCACCGATGGCAATCTGCCGAGCGCGTGTGACAGTAAACCGAGCGTTCACGGCCGAACGTGCCGTCGTGTGTGCACGCGCTCGCCCCGAGAGCAGTGCGGAGCCGTGCGCTTGTTAGCGAGCGCCTGTTCAAGGCCCCCCGCCACTCTGTTGCTACCCCCCCCCCCCCCCGAGGGGGCTCTGACGTCACGCGTTCGTTGCAAGCAGAAGCCTGGATTGAGAAGCCAGGCTGGTTCCCATCCCCCCCCCCCCCCCCCCCCACAGGCGTTGTGCACATTTGCCGCTTGCACGGCGATGCCGGTCACACGATATTGATTCCTGGGTGTTGCGTACCACGCCAGTGATATTTGGGTGACACGAACTTCCTCCCCAGGGTAACCACAGCCGAGCAATGGATAGCACACGTGGCCTATCACGCGGTCATCGGCATTGACATTCAGGACACACACACACACACGCACGCACGCACGGTCACGCCACCCTCCTCACGTTGTCACGTTGGCTGTGAATAGGTACTCGCAAACAGATCCTGCCCCCCCCCCCCCCCCCGACAGTCTGACTAGGTGAACCACAGGATGGTCTGTGTTGTGTGCTGCTGTTGGTGCGACTGTGTTTCTGTTGGTGCCGATTGTAAACTCCGGGAAGCGATGGTGTTTAAGTGAGTGCCGTAGGATTATTCTGCCTGCGTGAGTGCCTCCGGTTTTTTTTTCCTCTTCTCCCCTTTACAACGGTTTTTTTTTTTGTGTTAAATACATTTTTCATTGCTTTGCGTACGGGCCAAAAGGTCGCTCGCTTGCAATGGGGTGGGGGGGGGAGGGGGGCGGCCCACACAATTTGAGGCTGATGGGGATGGGGGGCAGGGAGGTGGTGGGGGGGGGGCAATAAAAAAATGTTCACGGTTATAAATAATCACGTTCCGGCGCGGCAAGCTGAAGAATCCCCGCGCCACATCGCGCCGCGCTGGAGCCGGCCCTGCGCTGCCTTCGCCGGCTCAAATCGCCCCCCCCCCCCCCCCCCCCCCCCGAAAGCACCTGGCCGCCTTCCCGCTCCCGAACGAACTTCCTCCCCGGCCGTGTGGCAGGGTTAGCAAATAACGAGGCCACGTGCAATCACGTTATTCTGTACCGGCGCTTGGGTTATTGCACCCACGCACCGGTACACAAGCTCCGATGTCTTTTTTTTTTATCCTTTAACGGGCCGTACCGTGCGCACGAGTGCGTTGTTTGGCGTGACGTCCGACGTTTCGCTGGGGGCTTGCTCGGAGCTTCTTTTGGGAACTTGATTTGGAGGAGCACGCTCTTCTCGCTCGGCCATACAGTGTGTTCCCTGCCCCCTGTTGCCGATTCCGGACGGCTATTGGGCTCGGCTCTCTGACTTGGTGCGACGGACTACATTGTCGAACTTGTTTCGCACCGTACGTAGCAGAGCGCGCTAATCGTTACTGAAGTGGGGAAATTAATGCCACAGTAAAAAAAAATGCAAATATTTCCACACCCACAATTCACTCCCACCGACACCCCCCCCCCCCCCACACCTCATAAAAACAATGGGAATGAAGACTAGTTTGACATTCAAAAATGCCACCATCTTTAGGGCATTTCATGTGCTGCTCTGCATGACTCTGGAAAAGTGTAAAAGGTCACCGTCAGTGTATTTTTCGGTTGGTTGGTTGGTTGTTTGAGAACCGCATGGCTGTTCGGAAGAGTGGCTTAAGCCATACGTGTGCCACAGGTAATGCGGAACAATTTTTAAATGTCTGCCGGGCCGCAAGTTAACAAATAGCGCGTTGTCGTCCAGCAAAATAAGGTCATCGAGAGGGGGCTCATGTCAGGCCGGGGTAGACTGGTCAAACATATTATAGACTTCCCGTACCATTCGTAAAGCCTCTCCTGACATAATGGACTGGAACAGAGAGGGAATTTTTTTTTTTGTAAGAATAAAACAGAAAAATCTACATGATGCCATTACAGCAGAGACCGAGGTAATTTTTGTCATCCAGGCTGTTGCGGTTGTGCCGCGGAGGAGTTTGGCGGTTGTGCTGCCGAGACGTCGCCTGCGTGCTTGTGGGTTGTACCGAACACGCATCAGAGAGCTTCTCCGTACGGCAGCTTCTGCAGGAACCGGGAGCTTCTTCAGAAGCTTACTTGGTCTCTGAAGAAGCTCCCAAGCAGATGGAGCGAAATCTCATTCGAACCCGACACGCCCAGATTGCCTCCGTCTCGATATTGCCGAGCGTTGCCAGAAACACCGCACCAAAATCACGAATTTTAGGCCGAGTTGACCTGGAGGAATCCCAGGCGAGGTTTCAAATACGGATTGCCACTGGCGGTGTTGCCCGCGCGTTTCTCACGGTCGGGAATTCACCACGGTGAAAACCAGATTGGTCATAGCGGCACTAGCAACTACGATGGCTCTCTCCCGTACTCGCGTACACGCCCGAGCCGAAGTGTTTTACAAGCTGGCCAAGCCAGTGCATTTGACGAGTCTCTCCTTCCGTGTCCCTAACCCATCGGTCATTTTCTTTGTTGTATTCGCTAATTACTGCACAGCAAACCCGACTGCTTTGGAGGAGAGTTATTATTGGAGGTTCTTTTTGCTAAATATTGTGTCCTAAAAGTGGTCCCGTTGGGATTTAAAGTCTTCAGCACGAGTGTGTGCATGTGTACGTTCGCGCGTGCGTGTGTGCGTGTGTCTTAAGTGATTGGAGAATGGCCAAATATTGAGGTTGGCTTGTGTAACTGTTTGCAAAGCAAGGGGGCGAATCTGCAAGCTGTTGCCTGGGCCGTGCGGAAACGGTAGTGCAACCAAACATGGACCGCACTCGGCTAGCTGGTGCCACGGGGCGGGTAGCTAAGCTCGATCGGCGCGTCCACGAGCCTCGGCAGTGGAAACTTAGCTCCGAGCGGCGGCTAATGACGTCCGCTTGTACCCGGCCTCAACATCAAATCTCGAAAAGGTTATCCCCGTTTAAATGGGGGGGGGTGGAGGGCGGGCGGGGGGGGGCATGACAATCTGGTAGTCTGCACGAGCGAGTGTGCCCGTGCGTTTTCACTCCGCGAGCGATCACGTCGCCCGCGCGTCGTGCTGCTGCTGCATTCTACGCTGCAATGGGAGCATATGAACAATTGTGTCGCATCCAACATTAACGATGGT